TTCAGAGTTTATTCTGATTTAAGTGGTTAATAAGCCCTATAAGCTCTTAAACAAATAGATTTATATTTTGGATTTGATGGCACCTCAAAATACCAAAAGTATCTGAAGACCTTTCCCTAGGCATCATGCATCACCAGATTTTGTTAAGGTTCTTTTAATTTTTCATATGGTTTTATATACTTTTTAAACATGTTTTAATATTTTTGTATTGCTTTTAATTGTTGTAAGCCACCTGGAGTCATGCATTTAAGATATACAGCCACCCATCTCAAATACATGAATTTGGGTGGCTACATAAATTGAAATAAATAAAATTTTAAACAATTAAATTTGAAGCTAGCACATTACAAAATAACTCCCTCAAACATAGTATTTAATTTCAAGAATGGCAGCCACAGATAGTTATGTGAATAAAATCTAGAGAGATCTCTACTGTACTTAAAACACAGCTGATGGCAGTTGAATTGAAACAGCACTGCATCTGCTGACCAAATATCAATAATCAGCAAAGCAACTTCAAAGAGACCAACTGATGGCAGTGTGACTACTCTCAAGGTTAAGCTTGTGTTATTGCTCAATATTACTAAATGGAATGTGCTAAGAATATAGGTTTGTTTTGTTCAACTAAGTAGCCTATTCACAGTTAAACAGAAAAATAACTCCCACTGAATATTAAGATCAATAAGAACCTTATGAATGTATGAGTTTCAAAAGCTGCTATATAAAAATTTTAAGAGGCAGACCTGCACAGAGCAGGGAATGATAAACATTCACTTTCAACACTTCATCGCTTAAAAATATTTTAACAGTTTGTTGTACAATTGTTCCACAGGGAAACAAAAAAGAAAACCAAAAACATAATACAGTATTAGCGAGACTTGAACTATAAGAAAAAACCTTCTTCTAACATGCAAATTAAATTCCTCCAGTTAATAGGAACACCTTAATTCTGAAACAATACTGGAAATCAGCATAGCTCAACCTCCCCCATGCCCAACATTTTTTTTTTAACACATAGATTACTGGAAATCCATCTTCATAAACACAGCAGCCAAATGCCACTGTGCTCCCCCCAACCTTAAAGACCACTGTCAGGACACTACAAAAACAACTATACCACATTAATGCCAACATAGTAAGTACAGTGAATGACAACTCCAATAATTATCAGCCAGCACGAATGTGACTTCTCTATCTGCATCACGTCATGATACAAATTATATATTTCATGATGTAATGACACGTGTTGTCATTTGGATGTCATTCTAGCTTGTTACTAACACCTATGTCCTAGTGGGAGTTGTAAAAAGCTCTAGCCTTCTTATATCCTTAGTGAGCAGTACAATAGATGAACCAAGGGTGTGACTCAGGAGAAATAACTGTATGATGACCCAGCTACATTAAGTGAGGGAGGCTTATGTCCACTCCACTAATCCCTACCCAGAGCAGATAATGTATGCCTACTCTACAGCAGGAGCCTCTTCTCAGCAGCTACAACCCAAGTATCTGACCTCTGCAAGCCTGATGCCAAATTAACAACTTGTGGGCCAAAGGAGAAGCCTACCTAGGCAACTTTACACTTTCTAATCCTCTTGCTTATGTAACTGTATCTGGCAGTATCAATGAAAGGGGTTATAGCAAACTTATTCAGCTACTTCAGCCTGTGTTATCTGCCCTGGCATCAGTTAAGAGAGCAAAATCTGAGAGCACAGCTTACCCTTTCCAGCCCTGCTTTGATTCCAAGTGCCAAGAAGTTAGGAAATAATTGGTTGGGCAATTCAAAAGATGTAATGAAGAATCAGCTTCACATTCCATCCAAAAACTTTTATTCTGAAAAACCTGCTAGAAATTAAGAAAAGAACTTTCTAGGACCTCTTGCAATAATTAAGAGCATCATCACAAGCTAAGAATCCAGCCTTGTTTGGATGCTTGATAGCTTCTTATCCAATCACAAGGCCCTTTTCACTCCTTTGTCTTTACTAGCAAAAAATATAGGAGGATCACTTTAGGACACTGTAAGCACAAGAAGAACTACCTTAATTGGATCTAGAGCTCAACACAACCTGCTCCTAATTTGGGCCCCGTTTCAAGCTCTGAAATAACAGACCTTGTCAAACAACTTAAGCCTGGCAAAGCCCTGGGCAGTTATTTTATTACTGCTGAAATAGTAATCTGGAATGGGGGATCCCTGTATAAACTTCCCTGTTCTTTTATATAGATCATACTACACAATTACCAAAGGACTGGGGTTTAGCATTTATAGTGCCTATCTGGAAAAAGAACAATCTAAATTTGCATGTTAACAACTGACTAATCATCCATTTAAATATAATAAGCAAGCTTTATGCTAAGCACTTATATAACTAAGTTAACTCATAACACATTCTGGCAGATGAACAGACAGGTTTCAGAGCTGGACGCTCTATTTTTTGACCATGCTCTTATACTGCAACATCTGGCAGAAAAATATTTGTCCAAGCCAGGTCTAGCATTATACACTGCATTTACTGATTTCAGGTCTGCATTCAACCTCATCTCCAGAACAAAGCTGTAAGGCAAACTCAAAAATATTGCTACAGGTAGATGTACAGCAAACACCAACAGGATCAAACAAGCTCTAACGTCTTAGCTGCTTGTTCTGAGGAAACACTTGAGAGCAAGTGAACAAAAATCAAGATCCTAATTTTTATTACCTCAGCTCAGAGTGCATGTCTGGTGATTAAATGGTCAGGCACTGGGCAAGTTAAAATCTTTAAATACTTGGGAATACTTTTTCATAGCTCTACCAAATGTTTTATAGATTAAATATGCAAAATCACTATAATCTCTTCTCCTTGCCACAAAGGCATAGCATAAAAAACACTAAAGTTATACTTGGCTAAGGCAGGTACTCAACTTTTCATTTCATAACTCCCTATCTGCAGAAGTACCCAGACAATTCTGACATGTTTTATGTTCAGCTACTCCAGTCAGACCAGTATGACTCAATTTCCTTAAAAGTGGATCCATTAACTCTTAGCGTTACTCAGATCATCTTAGAAAGAAACTTCTATCCAAAAGTCTCTAACAGAAGCCAAGGGAGGTATACATGCATTAATGTTTTATAACCCAAAGACCCTAGAGTCTTAAAGTAGGCAATATACAAATTGCTGTAGAAATAAGCCCACACAGACTCCTTTTCTTTCTTTCACACACTCATTCCTCTCCAGGACCTGTCAACTTTACAATTAAGAGATTGCCCACACTCTTTGCAGATGCAATGCCTTCCAGATATATTCAACTAGAATTGTCAGCATCCCTCACTGAACATAGTTCTGCTGAGCAAGGGTGACAAGACTTGTAGTCATCTGGAAGAGAGCAGACAAGACAACTGGGGATTATGGAGGTTGCCATCCAACACATCACCAGATGGAGATGTGGGTCAAGTACACCCAGCTATCACAAGGTTGGAGAACCGAAAATGATGAGAGTTGCAATCTTACCCATCACTGTAACACAGGATTGGAGAACTGGAGTTAATGGGAGTTAACATAAGAATCAACCAGGTGCCACTGGGGTGCTCATAAACGCACTGACACATACAGTACTCCTTTTCTCTCACTATTCCCCAGCAATTGGCATTTTTGGAACCTTGCTGCCCCCAATTTGGAAGGAATCTGTCCTCCGTGAATTTATCTAATCCAGTTCTGCCCCAGGACACAGAAAACATCTGCAGAAGGTCCTCATCTAATGAGATATGCAATGGGTGGTGCTCCAAAACCAAGCCTTCTCTGTGGGAGCTTCCTTCCTCTGGAACAGCTTGCCCCGTGAGGCAAAGGTGACTCCTGCTCTCTCAGCCTTCCAGAAGCACAGAAAAACCTGGCTGCTCTGGGTGGCCTTCATGACTTGCCACAGTGTGCCTGGTGCCAAAAAAATATTATTTTTATCACAGTGCTACACGGTATTGCTCCTACCGTATGTTATCGATATTAGTGCATTGGCCCCCAACTGTTACTTAGAGCCGCCTTGAGCAAAGGTGTTCAGAAAGGCATAATTTAGGGAAGGCGTTCCACAGGTTCACTTCTCCTGCGTTGCGGGGCAGCGCGGCTACAGGCCATCAGGCTGGCGGAGGGTAACTAAATGCTTATTTCTATCGCGCTACCAAAGCGCGGGGGGGGGAGCCGCGACCCCCAAACACCCGGAAGTCACCAAGCGGGAAGGCTGCCGGAGAAGCGGCGCGTGCACGCATGCGCGCGAATCCAGGGCGCGAGCCCCCTCCTGATGGAAGCCCCCTCTGCATGCCCCGCCCCCTCTCACGTGCTCGTTCCCGCGGCTCGTTAACCCTTTCCCTCCCGCCTATCCGCCGGACCCCGCAGCACCGACCTGCTGAGACGGCAACTCCACATGCAGGGAGCGGGACGTCGGGCCCGGCGGGGGCAGGACGGCAGCGGTCTGGCTCATGCTGACGGCGACCCGGCGGCGGCCCACAGGGCTCGGGGGCAGGAGGGGCCTTGGCGGGGGGCGCTTGAGCCCGCTCCCGCCGCCGCCGGACTCGGAAGAGTTAAGGGTGACGACGAGGCACCCAACAGGTCCCGGCGGCCGCTCCCGGGGCTTCCTTTAACGTCTCTAGCCCGCTTTTTCCTGGACCGCCGAAACGATTCCAGGCCTCCCGCGCTTCTTCACGAAGCCCTGTTATTTTCAATACGGCTGAGGCGACTAGAAGACGGAGCGACGGAGACACGCCGCCCGCTGATTGGCTCCAGAGGGAGGAAGGCGTGCCTCTAGGTTGCGATGGCGCAAACCCATTGGTCCCTAAGTACGTCGGTCCAACCAAACGTCCCGTCTTCTGAGGGGGTTCGTACGTTTGCGTGTGTATTTGGAAACACCGCCTCTAGGGACAGCAAACTCATATCTCACCTCTCATTGGTCGGCGTGCCCCTTACGGGGGCGGGCCTGAAATTATATAAGAGGCCCTTCGCGATTGGACAGATCTTTATAGTGATACTGTAGATGGATGAAATTGGGTGAAGGGTGGAAGCCGAGGATAGGTGTCACATGGTGTGTGTTTTGTCACGTGGCAAAACCAATTTGGAGGGAGGGGAGCGCATCACCATAGTAACAGATGAAGGAGGCTGAGCCCAGCTTGACTAGAGAGATGCTATCACCCATCATGCATTGCACTGCCTCCATGCAAATCAGGAATTAAAATATTTGTGGCTTTTCTGTCACCACCACAGAGAACTCTTGTTATTAAGTGGCATAAATGCGTAATGAATAAAGATGAGCTCTGTTGGCTGTGGTATCTATTTATTTTATAAGCTGCTTCATCTTGGTGGTTCAGTGCAAGAAAAAAAAATGTTCACAGTACCATGCAATTAAGTTAAAGTACAGCTTAAACCAGTGCTGATGATGTCACAATTGACTCTCAAAGCCCTCTGGAATAACTTAAATAAGCTTGGTTTTAACCAGCTTTGGGAGGTGAGGCCATTCCAGAAGATAAGGCATGTGTGGAAACACCAACGCTGGGCCTTGGTTTCCCTTCCTTTCTGGAGGCATTAATAGCAAAGAGGCTTCGGACTGACCAAATCCAGACAGAGAAGGTGGTCATTGTGGTATCCAGATGCCAAGCAGTTTAGGAGTGTCATGCTTCAACTCACACTTAGAATTGCGTCTTTGAACCAACTGGCAATCAGTGCAGAACCCACCGAACTGGAGTCATACGGTCATAGTGTTACATGGAATTTTAGCCTTTATTATTACCATTTTAATAAAGGTGATAAACCATGTTTTTGCTCTGATGTGCGAAAACCAGCCTTTTCAGCAACCAAAGGAGTGTATTCGGAAGTCCTTGATTAAAGCTGCAAATGTTAAAGAAGCAAACCGGGTGGGAAAAGAGATGCAGCCTATTTTAAGGGTGTCTGCCTTTTCTGACATCTAACAAAGTACATCAATGTCTTTTATTGTTTGACTTGCTGCTTTCTGATGCATCCCATATATCATATGTACGAAAAATTTGTTTCTGTACCCTATATAAAGACTTGACCACCCCCTTAATAAATGCCTTTTGCTTTGCCTGAAGTACTTGTGGTTCGTAATATCAGGGGGAGGGTGAAAAAGCCACTTTGCAAAGGTATTGGGTGTTTCTCTCTCAAATTCAGGGACTAGGTTCTTTC